TGTGAGTTGTCTTTTCACTTTCTTTCTAGTATCCTTTAATATACAAGTTTTAAATTTGATGAAGGCTGATATAATTTTTCTTTTACTTGTGCTTTTAGTGTCATACTAGGAAATTATTGTCAAATCCAATGTCATGAAGCCTTCCCCTATATTTTTTGTTTTTGCTAAGAATGCTATAATTTTAGCTCTTACATTTAGGTCTTTGATCCATTTTATTTTGAGTTAATTTTTGTATGTAGTATAACAGCATTGTTTCATTGTTTTGCACATATATAACCCAACTTTTGCACCACCATTTATTAAAAAATATCATTGAACAGTCTTGGTATCTTCATTGAAAATCATTTGAGGCTCACTATTCCATTGATCTATCCATCTATCTATATGCCTGCCAGTCCCAAACTTTTACAAGTTTTGATATCAGAAAGTATGGCTTCTTCAACTTTGTTCTTTTTTGAGTCTAACACGACTACGTGTGTATTTATTTAGCTAGCTAGCTAGTAGTGCTGGGTACTGAACCAAGGGCCTCACTCATACTAGGGAAACACTCTACCACTGATATATATAAACAACCCCTGAGACAAGTTCTTAATACTACTTGCTACTTTTTATTTTATATTTATTTTCTCGTACACCCTTGCCTAGGGTATTTCCTTCAAAAGCTCCTCCTAGCTGACTTTCCTACCTGTTATCCCTGTTATAACCCCACTTCAGTGCCAGTTTTCTTTTTGTCTTCCATGCCATGTCTCCCTTCATTCAGATTCTTATTTGTATGTATCCAGTCCAGAAATGGCATTTTAATATTTTAATCCTCTGGATGGCCAAAGGAAGAGGGCTCTACCTATCTGTTGCATTTATCTTTGAGTCTAATTCAGTCTTCTTTGAAACTTTCAAGGCTAAAAGTCCCTTTTACTGTCCTTTATCATCTGGGCTAGCTATGTTATCTTTAGCTCTCTGGAAGATGACCAGCTGAAATAGTAGAAGTATGTTGGACAAATGCTGTGACTAAGAAACCATGGTTCAGTGAAAAGAGCATCAAAGGTGACCCTTCAGTCATGCAGAGTTGGGGTGTTCACCCCTCATGCCATTGAAAATCTACACATAGCTCTTAACTCCTCAGAAACTTTGCTACTATCCTGTTGTTGATAACAGTAACATATATTATGTGCTATATGTATTATGTATGGTGAAAAATGCACAAGAACTGTGAGATTACTTTTTGCTGAGATAAGCAATTTACTATAGAGACAAATTGCTCATGTAGAGATGATTAGTAGCACACCAGGAACACACTGCAGTAGCACAAAGATTGCCTAGGAAAGTCTGAGAGTGGTATAGTATGCGCTAAAGTTAATTCTCTGCAGTTATGATTTAATACTGGATCTTTACATTTGTTTTTCTCAGTACCATAAATGGCACCCATGTATGGTCTAAGTATGTTCATGAGTTTTGATAAATAAGTTTATGTTGATAAATTTTAGTTTTTATAATAGATTTATGTGTCTTTTATGGTAGCAAATGATCAAATATACCAGTGGTGGTGAACCCATGGCATGTCTGTCACAGCGGGCTGTTTGTTATCATTGAAAGCTCCAAAAGTTTCATCATCACTGAAATATAGTATTAGCTACATATATTTTATGTATTCATGACACATTAACTTTTTCTTAATTTTTTTAAATATTTCTGCCTACTTGGTTTGTTTGCAAGTTTTTTCAAGTTTTTACAAATCTCTAAAAAAAATACGCATATAAGTGATAATATAAAATTGAAACAAGAGAAACGTTGAAAATCTAAAAAAAGGAACGACAATCACCTGAGTAAATGTTCTTGCAGGGAAGCAGTAAAAGAGAATGTTTGAGAAGCATAAAATAGCCAAGGGCTTGAATGGCGGTGACATGGCAGAAGTTTGGAATCTGTGCTGTGTAGCTCTTGTGGGTTTGAAGGAGGGAAATAATATAATGAAAACAGATTTTTTTCTAGGCAGAAAGATCTTTGGAGATGCCCCTAGTGAACTGAGAGCTGGCCCCCTTTGGGGAGGCCATTGCAGTGTTGAAAATGGAAGGTCTGTAGGCAGAATGGGGAAGATTCATTTCTGGCTTGTTCTGGACAGCAGAGGAGGACTGGGTAGAGGTGACTGCTAGACAGCTGGGAAAATGATGGTCCCAGTAGCGTGCATGAGAAAGCTGAGAGAAGAAATCCATTTTGGAAGTAAGAGTGATTTTAAATGCTTAAATTTTGAAATGATGGCAGGCACCCTTGAGACAACTATGGGACTCAGAAGAAAGAACAGTTAGGGCTAGTGACAGAAATCTGAAAATCATTGCAGTGCAGATTATTTTGAGTAGATGAAAATCCCTAAAGGAAGGAGTGTAACAGAAATATCAGGCCAGCCCCTAGAGGAGAAAGAGGCTGTAGAAGGGAAAGAGACCACAGGTGTTGTTAGAACTAGGATAACATAATGTCACATGGGCCAAAGGAAGAGCAAGTAGGGATAAGATACACAAGGAAACGATATGGGAAGGAAAAGTGAGGGTTGAAAATGTAATGGGAAGCAGGGTTGATTGCAGGGATGTGGCCCTGGGGAAGGTAGGAAGAATCCTGATCTTAGAGCATAGGCAGAGGCCCTAGCCTCAAACTGCTGTGAAGAGCCCAGCTGCCTGCAATTAGATCACCAGAATCTGTCAGCATCATAAACAACTTACTCTTGCAATGTTCTTTGTCCTCTGAAGAGGAACAGAGAGTGACCTAGAGTTGGGGGTGAATGTGGATGTGGAAGCCAGGGAGTCCCAAATTTTCACTCTCATAATGGGTTCCAGGCATATTCCTGTTCTCTGTAAAAGGGATACAAAAGGGAGTTTTAAAGGCTCTAAGATTTTATACTATTTAAGGTACAGTTCAGCATTGATTAAAGGGCTGAAACAAGTGACTATATGTGTATATCGAGTTCTGACTTTGTCATTTTTTAGCTGTGTGACTTTGGGAAAACTATTCTCTAAGTTTATGTTGTTGTTGTTGTGGTTGTACTGGGGATAGAACTCGGGCCCTTACACGTGCAAGGTAGGCAGCGAAACCACTGAGCTAAATCCCGAGCCCTAAGTGTATGTTTCTGAAGACTAAATGAGTTAATGCAAGCAAGATGTTTGAAACACAGCCCATGATCAGTGTTAGGTCGGATAACCACAGATTACAGTAGAAGCAGGGAAGGAGAAGAATTAGCAGAGGCTAGAGTTTTTGTATAGGCCTTGCTGTAGAAGGATTTATTGGAGGCAAAGTAGGGGGAGGTAGGAAAGGAATCAGAGAAAAGGAATTTTAGATTTGGAAAACCTTGTAAATAAAGTCATGGGTCAATAAAGGCTTAACATTTTTGTGTGATTTCCTTAATGAACCAGATTATTCTTGTTGGGAACTAGTGGGAGATAGGATAGGATAGGATGGATAACTGATTATTTGTTATTATAAAAAAAGTATGAGTTGAGGGGTTAGAGCTCTTTGGTTGTGATTTTTATCCTGGCTCCAACTTTGGGCAAGTTATCCAACCTTAGTACCCTAAGTTTCTTCATCTGCAAAATGGAATGAGCGGGACCTATAGATGTACAACCTATCTTGGCAGCTCTAAAGTCCTATGCTTCTTACATGGAAATGATTTCTCTGCCCTCTTCCCCCATGGCCTGTAGAATGGTGTGTTTTGGTGCAGTGCGAAGCTCAGTGATTCTGACCTCATCAGCCCTCTGCTTCAAGTAGGTGGTCTCACAGCCCACATTCAGATTCCACAGGCTGAGCACCATACCCAGCTGTGTCTGAGCAGGTAGATTTGTGAATGGAACCCACAGGCACTGCACTCCCAGACTACTTAGAGTTAATTCTATTACTGGCTCTCTTGAAAGCCTCAAGTTTTATGGATGCTTGCCTTGAAGTGGACCCTGAGGAGAAAGAACAGTCTTTAGCCTTTAAAAAATTTTTTTCCTGGGCTGTCCTTGCGGTACTTTCAAGAAAACTGCACCATGGATGCCAGGTGAGCTGCCAGTAAGGCCCTTTTCAGGCCTTTTAAAGCTGGAACTGAGCACTTCTGCTTTTACCACCATGATTCCTCCATTTCAAGGCTTGTGTGTAAATCCCCCAGGATTCTGTACAAATAGAAGTGGATATGGACTTTTCAAATGCCACCTTACTCGGAAATCACTAGCTTCTACTTCATCTCCTTTAGAAGGGAATTCTGGTTTGTTGCCCCTGTCCTTCCAGTCTTCAGGAGCACGGTAGCCCTTCCTGCCTCTTCAGCCTGCCGAGCCTGCAGTGTTGCAGTGTATTGCATCAGAGGAAGTTCTCTGGGATCCCTCTCACTGCTAAGCTGCAGGTCCTAGGAGCAGCATCTGCCCTTGCCACAGAGAAATATGCTTTGTGTTTGTTGAGGAAATACTTGGTGAATTGAAAAACAACTTGAAATGGAAAGACTAAAGCAGATAGAAGCTATTTTATCTATATTTTGCATCTGAAAAGTTTTAAAGGTTAATTTTGTTTTCAGAGATTGAAATTTGAGAAGAGGGACAATTTACCCTTGTGTTGCAGTTAAAGGAAGTCTTTGGGTAGTGGAGATCAGGAAAGGAAGGTGAATGAACATATAAGGATGCCAAAACTGACATATGTCCCCAAGCAGTGTTAAATATGCTTTATTAGTTTAGAATAGAACTTTAAGGATATGAAATGCATCTCTGTTGTATGTGGTTCCTAATAATGAGTGGATCTAGGTAAATGTAACAAATGCTAGAATTCAGGAGATGCTTATCTTTCCATCTTCCTGGCTGATCCTTGCCCAAGGGATGGTTATGAACATTATCTAGTCCATTCACACCACAGATTTTTTGAAGTAAAAAGAACCATGTCATGGAAGAATCTGTTGCAAAGGCTGTGCATAAAGCTTGAGAGTGAGATAGTTTAGTCTGGCCTCTTTTTAGAGCAGTGATTGATTAATACTGTCTGTGTTGCTGTTTCTTCCAGAGCTGACCTGTCCGGGACGCAGCATAACTAACGAAGCTGCTGCAGGATGAGAAGATGGCAGCACGGCTGCTCGCACCACCAGGCCCTGATAGTTTTAAGCCTTTCACCCCTGAGTCACTGGCAAATATTGAGAGGCGCATTGCTGAGAGTAAGCTCAAGAAACCACCAAAGGCCGATGGCAGCCATCGGGAAGATGATGAGGACAGCAAGCCCAAGCCAAACAGTGACCTGGAAGCAGGAAAGAGTTTGCCTTTCATCTATGGGGATATCCCCCAAGGCCTGGTTGCGGTTCCCCTGGAGGACTTTGACCCATACTATTTGACGCAGAAAGTGAGTTGGAGGAGACGTAGCTGCAGATGCCCCTTTTCTGACAGGCTGCGGGAGAGGGGAGGAAGAACTGTGTGTCTCTGCCAGAGTGGGGAGAAGTAGTTGACCTTTATTACAGTTCTGGTTTATGGGGAGCATTTTGCCATTCAGTTGCTGTTGAGGGTTTTCTGTGGGTCTTCTGGTTGTCAATCTTGGTAAGACTTCTGGGTTTGGCTCCAGGCCAGATGATCAAAAGACAAAAGGGCCCGGTGTGTAACCCAGTCCACTTAAGCTACCATTCATGAGGCCCTGGGTTCAATCTCCAGCACCATCAAAAATAAAGAAGAAAAAAAACCATAAATGAAACAGAACTATATACTAGAGTCCAAAAAAGAGGGGATAGTGAAAGATAGAGCTCTTTGGAATCTCTCTAACACACATTTGAAATTCTGTCTTTAAAGAACCTGTGATTAATATAGTGGAGGTAATGGGTTTGCTCTCTTATGCGCCACCTTTGTAACATTAGAGCATTGCTTTTAGTACAGGAGTAGAATAAAAGCACAGTGGACAAGGAGGAAGACTCCAGGTCTTTGGCTTCATTATATGGTTGTCCAGATGATTCTTGCAGCAAAGTCAGTTCTGTTCTTTTTGCAGGTGGGGAGCACAGGTGAAAGAAACACCAGTCTTCTTTTGGCCAAGGGTTCCAAACTTCCCAAACAAATATTTGACCAAATCTTGGGTTTCTTTCTCATAGTTATCTTCTGAAACAAGGCAACAAGTATTGAGAAACAAAACCTCCTGGATGATTCACCAGCCAACTACTAAGCCACTGAATCCTGAGGACTGATATCAGACACAAATTAGGGGGCCCCTCATTCAACAGATTGTGTAAGGAATTACATTGGTGGGGTTTTCCAGATAAGAGGGAAATGGCTTTGTGAAAATATATATTTACAAATATTAACTGAACTATCCTTGTTAATATAACTGCCCTTATAAATCACCCTTGGTAAAACTGCCTTTTAATCTTTCAAGTTTGGGAGAAATTTCAGCTTTGGCTTGATAATGGGACAGAAGTGAGAAATTTAGATGTGGTCTTTGAGGCATTTTTAGCTGTAGTCTTTGAGGCATTTTTAGCTCAGGATGACAAAAGCAGTTAAATCATTCTCTACACTATATGGTCCTTAACCCATATATTCTGTTGCAGCTCAGAACAGCTGCATAATAGGAAAAAGTGGACCAGTAGTTTAAATCTTCTGAGTTCAAGTTAAACATGATATGATATAAAGAACAATAAACTGGAAGTAAGACTCTTGACTCTACTGCAGTTCACTGTGTTTATTATTTACATTTGTCTTATTTAGTGTGTGGTCCAAGCTAGCACAAATAGTTTTGGGTAAAAATTTAATAAATAAAGAACAAAAACTTTACAAAATGAATTTGTGACTTTTAGCTGTGACTAACGGACCTAATTCTCTTTGTAGCTCTGGGCCTAAAATATTTATTTTTCCAACTGAGGTGCAAGTTGAATTTTGTTTTCTTAAACCTGACTTAAAATATGAAAAATGTATAGACCTATTAGTTGTCAGAGCCCAGTTTTCCTTAGTATCTCCTTTTCTCTGTTTCCTGCCCCCTTGATAGCCTCTGTCTATTTCCAGTGCCCCAGATTTCAGTGGCCTGGCTTGTGAGTGAGGTCTCTTCTCCAAAGAGAGTGGGTCTCTGGCCAAGTTGTTGATGGAAATCCACTGCGGGACAGGTTGGTCATGATAGAAAGTCTGACTTCAGCCTTTGTCCTCCCCACAGGGTAAATTGTTCTTGGAAAGGATAACCTAAATTGTATTTTTTGTAGTCTTTAAAAATATATATTTTAATGTACTACAATGCAGAAATTTATAAAGTATACATATATAGCTTAATGATTATTATAAAACACACTACCATGTCAAGAAGGAGCATTCCTAGCACTTCAGAAGTGTTCATTGTACATTTATTTTGTTAGTTACTTTTGGTACTGGGGATCAAACCCAGGGCCTCATGAATACTAGGTGAGCACTCTACTACTGAGCTACACCCCCAGCTCTTCGGTGTATGTTTAAATGAGAATTTTTTCAGTTGGTTATAAATAATATGCTTACTCAAGTGTACTCACAAATCTTCACTGACAGTACTAACAACCTCATATTTACTAGGTTTTGTACTAAACTAAATTACCAGGGCCTGCCCTATAAGACAGCACACTGGGAATTAACCCACAAATCAAAAAGTTATAAGGGTAGAAATGACGTTAAGAGGACATTCCTTTCTGTTAATTTTTTGAGGACTGCCTTCAATAATTTTTGAAAAATAACCTTTTTTCCTGCTATAGGATGCAAGTAGAATCCTTTTCTGTTTTCCTCTGGTCTCCTTTTCTAACTGATTAGTCATTTTTCTGACTCTCCTAGAAACCTGTTTCTCATTTCCTTCCCTCTTTCTTTTAGAGGGTAAGATAAAATAAATTCCCTAAAAAGGTTCTGGTTTCATCCCATTGTGGATTTCGTACTCCAGCAAGAAAGTTCGTGGATTAAGTTGAAAGATGGTCTTCCTAGTTGATACCTGCCCCCTTTCGCATTTCTTAAACCTGATAATTGATATGTATCTTTTTAAATAGGTGTTATAATTTTAAGAAAGTTCTATATACAAAAGTCCAAATTGCAGGATTCATTGATGTGTTTAAATAGCACATATTTCTCTTGAATATGAAAACTACACATAGCTTCTCAAAGTACAGTTTACTGTCAATTCTTCACATACAGTATTCCTTTTCCTGTAAAATAGAGTCCTCTTAGAATCATAGGGAATAAGTATTTTGTCAAAACACAGAATCATCCTCAATGGTAGAACCTGTACTAGAACTTGTGCCTCCTAATTGTACATTCATTGCAAAATATTTCCAGTTTCCCACCTGGTTTTTGTTTTGGTACTGGGGATTGAACTCAGGAGCTTGCGCTTGTGAAGCAGGCATGGTACCACCGAGCTAAATCACTAGCCCTAGTTTCCCACTTTTAAAATTTTTTATTATTTAATCTGTAGCCCCAGTTAGCTCAGTTCTTAAAACTAGACAGGCGAATGTCAATAAAGAAAAGTAAACTCCTTTTTCATTTGCATCCTGTGGTTTATTACGAAGATTATCTTCTACCCACCACAGTCCATTCCTTATTATTATAAGAATAATATACTGGAAATAGCTCCTAACTGGGAATAGAAAGCTTTGGCCATAGTTCCAACTTTGCCTCTTATTTGCCCTCAGCCAAATCACTGAAATTCTGTTCATACCTATAACATATGCCCAGTAGAGTTGGACTTGTGTCTTTCTAATTGTATTTCACACTTTTGCCTGTGACATACTGTGTTTTAGTGTGGAATACTACTTTCTGTTCCCTTAGTGTTTCCCACCTTCTGTTCTTCATCCCCTCCTCTTGGAATTTGCTCTGTTCTTTTAACTTCACCTTTTGGTATTTTATGCATTTGTCCAGGCCTGGCCCATAGGTTTTTCTTCCTTGTGGCCTAATTTAATTTTTCTAAACCAGAACTGATTCTTCTTCATTCTGAGTTTGTGTGGTACAGTTAGGTCTTCAGCCTGAATGAAAGAGAAGGTGATTTCAGGTTTCACTCAGTTTAGGTGTGGAGAGTACCTCTGTTCCCAACAATCATTTTAATTTTCTCTTTACCTCGTTAATGTTGTACCATCAGTTTCCTCCAATAAAGAACTCTTAAATGAAACACACATGTGCATGTACTCATGCAGTTCTGTGAGCTCCTGTCAGAAATCCCTTGCCAAATCTATTTGTGCACACTTTCAGCAGCTGTGAAGCACCAAGACAGGCTGTGAGGGGAAGAATTATGTTCATTAGGTGTGATGTAAAGTATTTCTAATGTGTTCTTCCCAAGCCTACTTTTGCACAGTGAGCCTATATGCTGCTTTCTGTTGTAATTTTAAACTACATATTTTTAATTTGGGGTTATTTTATTGTTAATTTTTTTTTCTAACAATGTAAATAAACAAAGTGGTATTCAGTTGTTTTATTCATTAAACCAAATTGAGGCAGATGCTTTTGAGCCAGTGAGGCTGTTCTCAGGATGATGGATTAATGATGGATATACATGGGGTTCTCGTTTACTACCCCACATATGATTATGCAGAGGGAAAGGAATTTAATTAAGCATTTCTAAATCAGATTCCTCTTCTCTTAATTTAACAGTAGAAATTCATATCTCTGTCCCATCTCCATCTAATTCCAGGTGATCTGGGGCATGCCACTTACCCATTCAAGGTCTCAGTTTTTCCAGTCTACAAAATTAAGATTCTGCTAATAGCTAATATCCCACCTATTTTACAAAATTGTAAAGATCATTTCTTTGTTAGCCTAACAAAACAGTCTATTGCCACAGCCATGCTTCATTTTTCTTCGTGACAAGACAGCAATTAACATGTGGTATATTTATTTGATTGTTGTTCATCTTATAGCCTCCTCTGCTGGAGCAGTACCTGCTCTGCAGTAAGCACTCAATCAATATTTGTTGAATGAATTAATCTTATAATGCATATGAAAATGCTGTATACTTTTATAAGTGTTGTGGACATGAAAGGTAACCTTACAAATTTTTCTATAATGAAAAAATTTCCCATCTTTCAAAATGAACCAAACTCAAAAGGGGAAAAAGACTGATAACCAGTGTTTCTTTCTTAAAGAATTGGTTTACTTTAGGAGGTAAAAAAGTGGATCAGGAGTTAAGTTTTCTGATTTTTAGTTATGTTTTCTGGGGGCTAGATAACTGTTGTTAAATGCCACTAGGCTAACCATGGCTCCCGTATAACCTAAGGCTTGGAGTTAAAAGAACATTATATCATTAGGTTGCCTTTTATTTATTGATCATAAGTGTGTATTACACAAACCTTCTGTCATATCCACCTGCACTAATTATTTTGTTGTTTTCTTGGCAGTGTGAGTTGTAAACCTCCCTCTAGTAACTGACCATAAAGGAAG